AAACCATCTGGTGTATCTACAAGCTCCTAGACCTTATCTGAATGTATAGATTTCATTTTAGTATTCATAAATTGTTACCATAAATTTGCATCTGCATCATTATGTTGTCTAGGTAATCCTAATGTTCCTGCAAATCCCGCAATTGTATGATACCTTTGACAAGTAATAGATTTAGTGAGTTAAAAATTATTGTCCCAAATGGAATAAATTTCAACTTAAGTTTATTAGTTACGTATGGAATTCAAATTATTTAAAATAAAAGAGAGATTTTGATTTTATTTTTGCTAAATTAATTTAATAAAGCTATAAAAGTTTGGTTTTTATCAAATTATGGATGATTGTATTGGATTTCGAATCCGCCTATTGCTATACATTTCAATACTTGATTTGTAATATAGTTCCGTTCATGCGCTCTTGACAATCGATAAAACTATGGTATATAATTTTCTTTTTCAAGACAAATTAAATCTATCTTAACCACGGCCAGAATCTATTCCTAACCCGAATTCGAATTGTTAGAATGCATTAAAGTTTAGATTATTTATATTATTGCAAACATGATAAATACTATTCATAACATCTATTGCACATATGTTAATTTTGCTACGTTCTAAACTTATTGGGAGTTTCTCAGCACTACAACAACTAATTGCCTAATTGGTGGTCAATCAATTAAATGATGCAATAAGTATGTAAAATTAACCAAGAAACACAAGAATAGAAATAACTACTATTCTTGAATTAGAAATAAATAACAAATAGGATTCATCTTCATTTAATACAAAAAAAAAAAAAAAAAAAAAAAAAAAATTTATATATTTTTGACGGACCCGAATTTGGGCTGGTTAGCCGGACCCGGACCAAAATTCGGGTCCGGTGTGGTCCGTAACGGACCGCTAGATGGTCCGTTACGGACCAACGGTTTGGTCCGTAACGGACCAAACCGGCGGGCTCGCCGGAAACTCCATTTTCGGCGAGCTCTGCCCCTTTTTTTCAAGAGTTTATTCTCAAATCGATATTTTCTTACATTTTAACTATAGAAACATGAATTTAATCCATATTCATATCCTAAACATTCAAACTTTCACAAATTCAAAGTAGTTATTTATAGAAAACATGTCTAACCTTCAAGAAAATGACGGTCTCCGGCGAATTCGAGGTGGCTCTGGTCTTGGTCGAAGTTGGTGAGGTCCGGGCAGTCCGTAGGCGACGTCAACGGTCGGTAGCTGATTTTTCCCTTTTTTCTTTTCTTTTTTCTCTCTATTTTCTCTTCTCTTCTTTCCTCTAAATGAGGGTATTTTCGACCCTACACATTTTCTTTACATTTTTTTTTTTTTTAACAAATAACTTGATCAAAGGCTATTATGGAAAACATACCGGGTGGGGCAGCCATTGCCCACCATTTCCTCGGCTTAGGACAGTGGGACACAACTGGTATTGGAAAATCATAATAAGGGCTTTATCGAGAACACAATAAGTCCGAATCCAGGCCCAACACAAACATAATGGTATATTTAGAGAGAGAGAGAGAGAGAGGCAGGCGTACAGAGGGAATTTGATCGACGGCCGTAGGCCCGAAACCCTATTTCTCTTTGCCGATGAGGACTAGGAATCCCTCTTTTTTGTTTAATTGATATTTTGATATTGATTTTCACTGATTGTGTTGAATGTCTATATGCACATTGGTGATTATACTCGAATTTATTTGATCAATTAATTGAATAATTATAGAGTGGATTCTCTTGATACTGAGTGGGATTTCGTTTTTGCGGCTCTGATTTTGGAATTGTCATGTCGGCTGATTCTCTTACCGATGATCGCTGGCCGCGTTATAAGGCGACCAGCGATACTAATTCCGGCGGCGGAGGCGGCGGCATAAACAGCCAACAGTCACGAAGGGTTGGTCCCGCTTCGAAGTGGGCGTCAGTTGTTCGTGGAGATTCTGAACCAATCTCGTCTCCTACAGCCACCTCAGTGGCTGCCGATATTTGTCATTCTTCATCGCCACCGCCGCCTACCGCCGCTGCCACAGAGCAGTCGGCTTTTGAGAAGGATTCAAAGGAGAATTTGGGACTGGAGACCCAGCTCGAGAGCTCTGATGCTAACAACGACGGCAATGCAGGCAGCCCGAAGAGGCCCGCTTGGAACAAGCCCATAAACGGCGTGGTTGATCTGGGGTCTGTTATGGGCGGTGCCGTCTCCTGGCCTGCGCTCTCTGAATCTGTTCGGCCTGTTCCGAGATCATCGGATTCTTCGAGACCCTATTCCAACGGATCACCATCTTCTTCTCAGGTTAACATATATAATAATATTTAGTCTTGATTGCTGTTTTGCACTTATACGTAAAAAAATATGATCTTATGGAATATTTGTTTCTCGTTTAATAATTTTTTTTTTTTTAGATTTATACGGAAAAATATATGAAAATATTTGGTTCACCTTCCATATTGTGTCTGGTTTTGTGTATACATTGTTGCATATTTTTAATTAAAGGGGTAAAGATCGAATTTTAGATGTAAAGAAGAATATATTGGTTTTTTTATTTCCATATATTTTGGTATTTGAAGTGATATGGACGTATATAGTGATTGACAAAGTGTTAATTCTTATACTATATGAATTCTTGATTTGAAGATAAAGGCACAACCTCCTGCTCCTGCCCCTCTTGCTTTTATTTTTAATCTTTTCTTAGGGATCTAAGTGTATAATTAGCGAAGGAGTGTTGATTCATCTTAGACAAATTTTTGTACTGGTAAAGGGGTAAAGATTGAACTTGTTTGATAAATTTGCAGAGACAAACTAACAGTCATGCTAATGCAAATATTATTGCAAACCATACAATGCCATCTGGAAAAAGGCCAATGGGATATCGAGGCCGAGGTGGTGGTGCTATCTCTCCTAGGAACAGCCCCTCTCAAGCTGGCTTTAGTTCCCCATCTTCCCTGATGCTACCCCCTGTTCTGCCACCATATACCTCGTTTGACATGCCCTATGCAACTGTGGTACCACCTGTAATGGATACTCATGGTAGAGGCATGAGGCCAATGGGAGGACTCCGAGGATCTCAATCACATATCAGCAATGACCATTCTCCACACAGGAATAATTCAAGAAGGGGTAATTTTGGACAACGCGGCCGTGGAGATGGGCCACATTATAACAATCATGGAGGCAGGCGTGATCAAGATCGTAGAGATGGTCGCCTTCCCCATCAATATATTCATCCTCCCATAGGGTTTTTTCCACACCCACCATCCCCTGTCAATGCCACGTTGATTAGGCATCCACCGGTGAGACCTTTTGTAGACCCTGTGGGTTCTGGTATGTCTGCTGCTCAATATTTCTATATGATTCAACAATTTGGCCATGTTACCATCGTTTTATGGTCTTGCAGATATTGCATCTCAAGTAATCTATTATCCAACACTGCATCTGGAGCCGTTTAGGGCTATGCCACTTGTGCCTCCACCACCACCTCTACCAACTATGCTCGTTCCTGCAGTGGTGGATACCCTTCCCACTTCAATTATTCAGCAAATAGACTACTATTTCAGGTATTTGTCATTGTGGTCTATGTTCATCCCTTTATTATTTCACTTCATTATATGCCTCTTCAAAACTTTGTTGTTGAAGTAATTGTTTATCATTACCAGTGATGATAATCTGGAAAGGGATTATTTTTTGAGGGGAAAAATGGATGCGGAGGGCTGGGTGGCAATTTCTTTAGTAGCTACCTTCCCTAGAGTAAGTTGCAGCTGGATTTGCCTTTATATAGTTCATGTTATCTAATATCTGTTTTATTCAAGGATCCTTTGATATGTAGATGATCTATATATTTGCTTTTTTGATAGTGCTTAATACATAATTCAGTCGAACCCAGTTTGTATTATAAATATACACATTCCATTAAATGTTAGCTGAGATTTAGTTGATCTTGTGCTATGATGAATGTCAAAATGTGAGTCATACTTAGCCGCTGTTTGACATCCATTAAAGTGTTTTGGAATATTGATTTATTTTTATTTTTTTGAATGTGTGTTTAAAAAGTAAAAAAAGTTTGGGTTTACGAGCAAAATATTTTATTGTGTGAATCCGTGGTTGAAAATGAGTTTGAAAAAAAAAAAAAAAAAGAGTTTTGATTTAATGGATGTCAAATAGGGGCTTAGAACCTCATAAATGTTAATTTACTAAGCTTGTATAATTATGTAAGACCTATTTGAAGTCAGTGAGATCTCATTGAGAATCGTGATAACACGAATTATGTTTACCAAATACTAAGTCAAATGCCGATTGGTGCATAATTATTTTCTTTGGTGTTATAGAATCTGATACCAGATTTGGCATATAAAAATAGGATGAGAACTTTTGGAAGATGATGAATCAACATGCGTTTCCTATTTATTGCCTTCTCTAATTTTGTAGACATATCCTTCCTTACTGCTCATTTAAGTTGTTCTCTTGGGCTTCCATACTGCTATTTAGATGATGTTATCCATTAACAATTTTGTTCAAGAAGATCTAAGTAGTGACATAAAGAAAGAAAGAAATCATTTCTCATCTATTTGGAAATCTATATAAATTTTTTATTCTATTTTATTTTGTTAACATGTGGAAGGTTTTTTTTATTGAAATTTGTTTTGGCTCTTCGCTATTTGAATACTTCAAAACAATTGTAGTAATCAAAACTATTAGATGGTAACATCTTGTAAGTCTAGGCGTATTTTGCTTTCCTTAATAAAGCTGGAAAATAGTGATACATCTGAAAGCCTTCTTCTATTTTTCCCATCCATTTTGAGGTTGAAAGGACAATAAATTTTGCCCACTCTTATTTGCAAAGAAGATCTAGAAATATCTAGGGGGTGACTTTTTTAAATTCATTTTTCACAATACTAGCTTGATTTATACTTGGTTATTTTGTACTTGTGCACGTAAAGTGCAGTGCACAGATGAACATTGCTTTATGGTGTGCTTTTGCAGGTGCAGATATTGACTCACAATATTCAGCTGATTTTGGATTCTTTGAGAGCTTCAACAGTCGTGGAAGTTCAGGTAGCTTTCTATGAAGTAGTGCAATCTGTTTTTAATTTTACTCTATTCACAACTGAACGTTTTGGTTTTAATTGGTACTATGTTCTAGAAGGAGCCTTTGTCCTATATGATTTTCCAAAGTTAACCTTTGGATAAACAACTAAAAGTCATATTTGCTTCTGTGCCCACTTTATTTTCTTCAACACTAAGCTGAGACACGTGTAGACTGTAGTCTACAAACCACCACTTCTGGTGGGCACCCACAAAACCAGCACTTGGACATAAAGCCCCTAAACCTCAGAACCTTGATAAAAAGAAAATTTAAATGCAAAACTTCTCAAACGTTAGATTGTCAAAACTGCCACCAATGCTGCTGTAATTAGGTAAATCCAGAAAAAAAGTTATTTAGGGCTTGTTCGATAGTGATTATGAGAATTGATTTTTTGATTGTTAGAGAGAGAAAAGTGAGTTCCACCTGTGAGAGAAGAAGTCAAAAATGACTGCTGACTTAGGAAAATAAAGGTCAAAAAATTGATTTTTTGGAGTAAAAAATCAGAATCAAACATGCACTTATCATCACTTAAAGGCCATGAACCTCATCTTTCAAAATAAAAATGTTTTATATAATAGATAATAATAGTAATTTATTTAGTTATATCGACTTTCGATTTGACTCCTCTCCAATCTCAGGTGAACCTTTTTCTCTCTTGACTTTTACCTTTCCCCTGTACGATTGCTGGGTTAGGTTTAAAGAAATTGCTTCTAATACTTTTGGCTTAATGATCATTTGGGAAATGTGAAAAATGTCTGAAATTTATTATGGACGTAGGAAATGTGATTGACAGACGGAGTTTATACTATTTTAAAGAATCTAAGGGTTCTGCAACACGTTGTTGCTGTGGTTTGTTTGAAAATTGAGTAATCATGCAGGAGGATAACTGCAGTTCATTCTGCTACTTGCTATTTCCTAAATTTATCTCTTGTGCGTCTGTTGATTATAGAAATTTAGTGAAGTTATCACAGCATAATTGTCATCTATTTGTTCTATTCATTATGTAGGGTGACAAGATAAGGAAGCGTTATGAGTGGAAGAAATGGTTGCTAACTTCTGATCGAGTTAACGCAGATTCTGTCTCACAAGCATCAGCTGAAAAGTTTATGGCTACATCCTTGCAGAATGTCTCATTGAATGATGCATCGACCAATGTTGAAACAAGTGTTGTCAAGGATTTGACTGGCCAATCCATGTTGGCTGCCGGAGAGGGTACAACAGACATTAATTCAACCAACATGTGATAAATTATTCTGCAAAGAAAGATTGCATCTTAGTTAAGGTTGGTATAGTTTGTCATAGGTTTGAAGGATGGCGATGTCTACTACGTGAGTAAAATATTCTTTCTTTCTACTTGTCTGTCGACCTTATATTTTTCCAATTTTCAAGTTTACAGGGACGGCTGGAGAAAGATTAATTGTCAAAAACAGGAGAAATTCAAGAATTTCGGAGCTTACATTGACTTTTTATACAACTTAAAACCGGTGGTTTGTTTTTGGAAGGCTCTGCAGAGAAAGATATTGAGTTGACCAAGAAAGAAAAACAAAAATGTATAGCAATTATTGCTTAGAGAGTAGCCTCTGCTTGATTTTGTGATATACATGCTGTGCTCTCTCTATTTTGATATTCTCCGATTTTCGGTTTTTTTTCTTTTTATTTTATGACTTAGTTTACTTTCACTTTGCTACTTATATAGGTATTTTTGTATACTAAAACCTCTTGGGACTTCATTCGTGAAGGTTTTGTTGTCATTTATTTGAATTTCAGTGTAGGATAATTTTGTCTTGGGATGTGCTTATATTATTCCTTCACAATTTAACATTCATCGACGTATGTTTAATTTTCAACCTAATTAAAGCCCATGTATGATATAAGGTTATATATTGTGGAGTCTCCATTGAACAGCCAATTCACATGTCTTTTTACCTTGCACTTCGTCATTTATTGTCCTGCAAATGTATCCAAGGCTGAAAATAAATTGGTATTAACGTTGTTATGTACGTGATTTGAAAATTCTACCAATGGTCACACTAGTAGCTTGGTTTGACCGTGTCTGGTAGCTGAAATTTCAAGCTTTTTTTCATAGTAATGCTATTTAGCACTACGAATAATTCTATTTGTATTGAATAGAATGTATCAAAAGTTATTCCCTCTCTTACAATGCACATGGGACTCGCCTGAATATCTAAATTCTCAAATGTGGTCCCTCATCCTCTATTGTGAGTAGTAAGTAAAGGATTAGATAAAAAATTATGTACATATAGTACTGTCCTTAGCACTATGGGTATCAACCATTAGTATAAGTGATAATTGTATGGTGGCATTAAATGTAGATTCACTTAATTGTACTTTAATATGATTCATTTAATTGAGCTATAAAGTGTGATCACGTACATCAGTGATAAATAACATTATTTTTTATTTATGAAATGACATCTTTTCATGTCTAATCCTCGAATTACTACGTTAGCTTTTTCTTCATATTTCTTGATTAAATTAAAAGATGTTCGCCAAAAATTTATGTATCATCTGTTCTATTTGAGGTATTCAACAGACAACAATTGCATGACTGTGCTTTGAATTTCAACTAGTTGTTTGTAACATTCGAGTCTTCAATATATTTTATTTTTGTAGTAAATAAGAAGGCAGTCTATTTTCGCTGTTAGAATATGACATGTAGCTAATATGATAATAATTTTTGCTTTAAAAAATTCAGAGTGAGCAAAATAAACAAATAAAATATTATGAAAACAAGAATAGAGAATATATGTTATAAACAAGTAAATTTTTTCACTAGCCACTAAATTTTAAAATGTTCTTGACTAGCCATTGAACTTTGATGACATTGCATAATTTTACGTCCTACCCACATCATCTAGTTCGTCTATATTTTAACATTCGGTGATAGAGTAATAGATGGAGAATATATGTTATTTACGTCATTCATTTCTTCTTCTTTGTTTTTTAATGGATGATGAAGTGACGATTTGATAAGTTCAATAGCTAGTCATATACATTCTAACGGTCAATGGTCGGAGAGGAACATTATAAAATGTACACCAATCATTTGTGCATTAAACCTAGAAAATTCTTTTATTTTTCTGTGTTTTAATTTATTGATGATATTGTAGTTTTTTGAAACACTGCGGTTCACGTCAAATTAATGATTATTTAAAACACAACATCGAGTTGAGATCTAATAGATATAATAACAAAACATAATGTCAAATGTACTCTCTTTTATTAGCGCGTGACAGAAATATTATTAGCGCGTCAAAAGTACTAAAAGTAAGCCATTGATTACAAAATCATTTTTAAGTTTCTATGTTGATTGCATCAATACCCAAATTCACAATAACCTTAGCCGCTGACCATAAAAGAAAACTTAAAAAATGCAGAAACCATTTCTAGTTGACTGCTTTTTTTCTTGGACCCATATGAGAAAAGAAAAAAGAAAAAAGAAAAAAGGAGAGATTAAAGAGGGGAAAAGGAAAGGGAAAGTCAAAGATGAAACCTTAGATGAAATCTGAGAAAGGAAAATACTTTAGAGAATTCCTCATTAGGTATTTGCAATTTATTTTGAATCCGAACATTAACATCCGCTAGAGTTTCAACATCATGAATGACCAAAAAGAAAGGTTCCTATTAATGTGAACAGTGTTTTGTGATCTCACATGTGAACAGTGACTTCGTGTGACCACTTTTGTATTAAATATTGATATTTGTGACCTTTTATGTGTTAACTGTGAATCTCTATGACCAATTTTTTGTTATTTGTGACTGTTTGCAACTATCTATGTGTTAACAGTGTTTTGTGATCTAATATGTGAACGACGACTTTTTGTGACCACTCTTCTATTAAATGTGACTAATTGTGACATTTTATGCGGTAATAATGATTCTCTGTGACCAAATTTGTATTATGGGTGTGTTTGAGCTCCATTATTTGACATTATATTTATAATGAGATAAATAATATATATATATTTTAAAATGAGTAGTTGAAATTTTTTTGATTTATATGTAATATTATTTTATTGAAGATTGTGTGGTTAAAAGTAGGAGAGAGAAAAATTTAATTTAATGTAATAAAAAATAATGGGGCTCAAACGGGGGCTATATGTGATTGTTTGTGATCATGTCTGTTTTTACCGTGAATGTTTGTGCCTCGTAATGCATTCATTGTGATCTTTTGTTACGTGATTGTAACATATTTTTGTCTAATTGCAACTTATATCAATCAAAGACCTATTTTATAGGTTATAATATATTTCTTGATCACAAATTTTATAGTTTATAACTTTCTTTACGATCATAGCTTATCTTATTAGTTGGTTATAAGTTACAAATTAATTTATCACAATTTAACAAATTGAGTGCCACGGTTACAAATTTAGTCTTAATTTCATATTTCTAAGTTGCATATTATTTATTGGTCACAGATTAAACAATTTATTTGTCACAATAAATCAAATAATTGGTCGTAGGCACTCTTCATCCAATCCCACCCATCCCCGGCACACTTAGTACCTACATCACCACCACCTATAGAACTCCACTGCATCACCATGTGTGACTACCATCATTACCAACATTTCACCAGCACCAGCACCACCACCAACTCCAAAAACTACCCAAAAAACATGGCATCCAAAAGCTCTAGAATTTTCCGAGATCGAGGAGTGAAAAAATGCGTCTTAATGAGAAATAATGCTACTAAAATTGACCTTCACTTATCCACTCCAAAAACAATTGCAAGGTTCATAATTTGTTAATTTGTTTTCAATAGGGTTGGCAGCGGTTCGGTTTGGCCCAAACCATTACCGAACCATCAATTTTTTGGCCATATCACAATTACACCATACCACGTAAGTTGATTTGATTTGGCTCAGTTCGTATTTTAGTTCGGCTCGATTCGGGCGGCTAATAATCACGAAAATAAATATTTTTTATAGGTCCAACTGTCAAATTGGAAAAAAAATAATTTACGAAAAAAATTCAATGAAAACATAAACACAATACTAAGACAATTTAGCAAACAATATCCCAATTCCCAAATGCAAAATTCGAATTTAACAAACAATTTTCAGATATGTTTAATATTTGTGTAGTAGAGTGTAGGGTTACTGGGTTGGGTTAGTTGGATTTAGTGGTCGGTAATGGGCTAGAATTTTGGATTGGACAAAATCATAAAAAGAATAATGAAAAGCCCAATTGCCCAACTATTTTTTAACGGATAATTGGTTCGGGGCGGGATGGGACGATGGTGTAAATACCATACTCGTCCCATCCCCAATTGAGGCATTAAAATCAAATACCATATCTATCCCACTGTACCATCGATTCGATTTTTTTCGTTCCATTCGGTTAATTAACGCGGTTTTTGATTTTGACGGTTAGAATTGCCACCCCCTAGTTTTCAATAGTGGACCAAAACTTGACTCACTATGTTAAACAACAGCAAAATGAACTCCAGAATCTCTTCCAAGCACAGGTAAAATGGCGTATTAATCTATTCTCGTATTTTTCATAAGAGATTGTTGAAAAAATGGATTGAAGGGATGACTTTGACATAAATTTTGAGTGGGACCAGTTTATTTATTTTGGAATATGAAGATTGATTTGTGTTCTCCTCCATGAGAACATCGAAATTGTATATTTACTTGCCGAAAATGATGCTTGGGTGAATGAGAAATTGAAGCTCAAAGTGATGCATTGGAAGAAGTTTTGTATTGGAAGGTAAACCAATTTAAAGTTACCCCACATGAGAAAATAGATAAATGTAATGACCACTTTAAATATAATTACACTTTGAAAGGGTGAAATCATGTGTAGTATAGAGACTCTCTCCATGTGCGCACGCAGGGGTTGCAAATCATGGATAAAAATAGGTTTCAGACCTTGAACTTGTGTGCAAGCACAATCTGCACACATGAATGTCGAACCGAATGGACCAAAAATTCGCCCCTTAGGAGGGTCCACTTTTTCCCTTTATTTTATTATTTTCCAATAATTAAAAAGAGCCCTTCTTTTAACTCCTGAAACTCATATGATTATGTCTTTGTTCATGGAGAGATTAACTACCGGGTTATTGGTGGTTAATGACATAACTCCTAGCTTGTTACTTTTCATTTACAGCCTATTTATCCAATCATCTTCCTCCTTTGCAGACACAAACAACTCATTTTTCTCCATCATTTTTACTTTTTTGTCTGTATACATAATTTTACTTTCTATCAAGGTCTTGGTGATAGTGTTTGGATATTAAGTTAATTCGTAGGAGTAGTGTCTGCAGTGCTCAAACTTTATTGTTTTTCGTCCCCTCACCGTGTTTTAAGAAAACTATGTTTACACAGGCATGAGGGGACGAATTTGTTTTTAGAAAACTATGTTTACAAAGACATCGGTTGGAAGTGTATTCGTTCTTTTATTATCTTTCGTAATTTTATATTACTTGCTCTATTCTTACTATAATTAATAAAATTATTTTAATCTGCAATATATTTTTTTGTAACAGAGTTAGTGTATTCGGATATTCATCAATTATTGGTACTTCTATAGGGGAGCAATTGAGGTACAACTTAGTTGAAAAAAGAAAACAAAATTTTCCTCACCCCCAAGTCCATCATCTTTTTCATTGTTTCATTACATTTCAAAACTAAGAAACAAAACAAATGGAAAATACAACTTGGTAGAGATGGAAGACATTAGCTTATGACAAGGACGCTCTTGGTTTTTATTTTAATGGTTGTCTATTCAAAGAATATAACAATTATAAATTTTGATATACCCCGGTAAAAGTAAAAACTAATCTAAAATGCATATTTGGGAGAATGAAAAGTAAGAGGAGTTGTTAAATGTACCTAGTTGGGATTGTTGATATATTTATTCAGAGAACATTTTTTGAAAAGAAAATATTGTTAGAGCTAGAACTCTACCATGCTTTTTCTTTCCTTTTTTTTTTTTCACGAAGAATTAACCCCAAGCACTAATTAGCATAATTTGTTATCTACTTTACAAAAAGAAGATACAAGTGGATTATAATGTAAGTGGACCTAGTAACTCCAAAGGTACAGCATCCCATGGAACACTGATGTTTGGTGTGTATACGATAGGGATGCTGTTGAATTTTTTAGAAGTTGCTTGTGGGATGAATTCAAGTTATCTCTATGGATGCAGGCTCATCCTGATCTATTACATGCTTTTCCAGCGGTTGCTGCAGGTAGTGGAGGACTTGATAGCACAAAGGTTGAGAGAGAAAGAGGCGGAACTAGAGAAGGGGTTGGCTAAACTCCAATTTGGAAGAGCGGGCAACATAGCTGAATCCTAAAGTGCAAAGTCGAAGGCTATGGTGATGGAGTCGGAGGTCATGTCTTGATTGTAGCGTCGCTCAGGCCATCGTGGAATTTCGGCATAACACATCGTCGCTGCTATATTTTTGGTGTGAGAGAGAGGGAGAGGGAGAGGGAGAGGGAGAGAGAGAACAAGAGAGAGAAGGGAGAGGATAGAAAGGAAAAAAACTATTTGTACTCCTTCACTTACCTAATGCTTGACACGCTAACGTGGATGGTTAATTATAAAAATAGAATAAAACAACAATAATGCTGGGCTTGGTTTTAAGTCTTGGTCTTGGGTTTAGGGGGGACCCGTTTCAAAAGACTATTGCTAAAATTTAACTTTCCCATTCAAACCAAGCGTGAATTCCTTTTCTTCCTCTTTGCCCTCGAAAGTACTTTTATCCTCTTTACCGCGACTTCAGCCGTGCCATGTTTGGCCCCAAGGGGTTGAATTATCCAACAACGAGTTCATTCTTCTAGGCCAAAACTGGTGATTCAAAATATGGGTCAATTTCTTCACTGATTTCTCTCGGTCGCGATTTGTCTTCGTCGTGATTGGCATTGCTTGAACTATCCAACAGTGGGTTCATTTCGGAAGCAAACAAAAAGTCAAAATATGGTTTGATTCGAAGAGATGACGGATAAAGGTATTTTCCTCCCTCATTTTAGCATGATACTGGTTTAGGGGTTAGGGACAAAGGTATACTATGTGAGATTAAAGAATAATCATAAAAAGCTCATCCTTTTTTTTTTTTTTTTTTGAAGTAAATCCTTATTAAATTGAGTTCATTAAACTGCAGGCAAAATAGAAATAGGTGCACAATCTAACCAATGGTGCACATGAAATAGTAGCTAATGAAACCAATTTATGAGCCGCTTCATTCTCATCACGGAACGTATAGTAACAAGACCTATAAATGCCTATCCAATCGAGATACTTCTTTTAAATTGAAACAACTTGATTTGTGGAACTTTTCAACGTGAAATACTAATCTATAAAGATAACAAAAAATAAACCAAAGATATAATTTTAAGACGTTTGACTCACAATTCCATAGAATGTTATTAACTCAAACCTCTAACATGAGTATGATGTGAAATTGCAAGATAGATAGTACATTAGTTCATATGTGAATTTCTCCAAAAGGTGTAAACCAATTTACAAATCCATGTTTTACAGGATACTTTTATTTCCTTAACTAGATTGAGAAGAATTAGGAATGAGACTCACATATATAAAAGAAGGAAGAATTATATGTACTTCAAGTGTCCTCCTTACAATTTTTCATTATTTTTGTCACAGTTAAAGGAATTTAGGAAGAAGTAGACATCGATATCTTGTTAGAATCAGATAATGACAAGGTGTTGGAAAGTGTGAATGTAGTGGATGATGGAATTGTAGGAGTAGATGGTATGATCGTTCCCGAGGTAGGTATGAAGTTCAATGATGAAAATGATGTTTGATTTTTACAAAAGATATGCATACAACTTAGGCTTTCTGGTTAGGAAAAGAAGTTCACAAAAGGATGATGATGGAATTATAAGATATGTTGTGTTTACATGTAGCCATGAAGGTCGTTGAAGTAGTAACACAAGCGCTTTTATGAAGTTGCAAGCTACCATTGAAATGGTTTGTAAAGCTAGGTTGATTGTATCATTAGATGTGTGCATAGTATGGAGAATTAATACAGTCAATCTCATTCATAATCATAAAACCAGCCCTTCGAAGCCAGGTTGTATTGTTACAATCGAGAATTGAGTATCCATGTCAAACGACGACTTGAAGTGAATGACATGGCAGGGACTCATTCGCATAAAAGTTACAACTCCATGATTGTAGAAGTAGGGGGTATGAGAATATGACTTGCACCAAAAAGGATTGTCGAAATTATGTTGAACGAGTGAGGCGGTTAAGATTTGGAGAAGAAGATGCCCCAACAATACAGTTATAATTTTCGAACATGTAAGTAAGGTGTTTAGGTTTTTTCTTTAGTATGGATTTAGATGAAGAGTCACGGTTGAGGAATATTTTCTGAGTAAATAATAGGAGTAGCCAAGCATATAAGGAGTTTAGCGATGTTGTAACATTCGATACCATGTACCTAACTATTAAGTATGACTTGCCATTTGTGCCTTTTGTTGGAGTTAATCATCATGGGCAATCAACACTTATTGGTTGTGGTTTGTTGTCGAACGAAAATATAGAAACATTTGTGTGGCTTTTCAAGACTTGGCTTCAGTGCATGCATGGACAATCATCCCTTGACATTATTATCGATCAAGACAGGGCCATACAGAATACAATTCAGATTGTATTCCCAAACACAAAACATAGATGGTGTTTGTGGCATATATTGAAGAAGTTACCAGAGAAGTTTGGATACTAAATCGATAAGGATGAAATCTTTTCTGCCATACACGTACTGGTGTATGATACTAAATCTGTTGACAAATTTGAAGAGGGTTGAAGTGCGATGATAGAGAAGTATAACTTGCATGACAATGACTGGTTGTCGGGACTATACTCGAACAGGGGCTGTTGGGTACCTTGCTATTTGAAAAGCAGCTTTTGGGTTGGAATGTCAACAACTCAGCGCAGTGAAAACTTGAATGCATTCTTCAATGGGTATATGCACTCTAAGACATTACTGAAGTAATTTGTCAAACAATATGAGCGAACTTTGAGGAATAAGGTAGAGAAGGAGTTTCAGATAGATTTCAAATCACAAATGGTTCCACGGGCAACGAAATACGAGCTAGAGAAGCAATTTCAACTAGTTTGTACCATTTCAAAATTTAGGAAAATTCGAGATGAGTTCATTGGGAAGGTATATTGTGATCTCATATCTTTGTCAGAGGGTTTTTTCATGGACGTTGTATGAGGTATTGGAGGATGTCATACTTGAAAATCAAGTGAAGAAAAAGAAGTTTTGTCACTTTTCAAAAAGAGAAATGTGAAATTGTATGTAGTTGTCACCTCTTCGAGTTTTGGGGAATAATTTGCGAGCATGCGATCGCTGTACTTCACCGTAATAACATCATTTCACTGCCCGACACCTACATATTATGAAGATGTAGAAGAGAAGTGAGTAGAGCCCACACCAGGGTCACAGCCAACTATGATGGTTTGAGTAGTAGTCCAGCCCAGTTGAGATATGACAAATTTGTGTCAATCATTTGCTTCTCTTGCGAACATGGTTGTAGAGGACGATGAGCAAATCCGTCAGATAATGGAATGGATATAATGCAAAGAACGAACAGTGTAGACGACGAGGTCGATTGGTGGAAGTAATAACATATCGCAGCAAGCTTTTCAGATAGCGTTGGATGATGGAGAATCACAGTACTCTGGCAAGGAAAGTGTACAGGACCCGAAATGCTCGGACAAAAAAGGTGCACCAAAGAAACTCCAAAGGAAAAGCTGTATGAAATCGAATTTCAGTAAAGCAAATGTATGTTTGAAATTTATTTTGTTTTGTAAGAAAGTGCATAGTGGTAGTAATTATTTGTCTGTTATACAATCCTGTCCAACTTTAGTCAAGGGAAGGAGAACTAGGGCAGGCCCAAGTAAACTGGGAGAAGTTGAATTGGTCTCATATTCCATACAGGCACCAGTCTCATATTCACAACTCTTGATTGTTCGTCTCTTTCCATTGATCCCTGAATATGATTTGTACTTTTCAGTTACATTATGATATAGTGCAGGTGTTGGCGAAATTCATGCATTTACACAACAGTATCTCCTAATTTCATCCCATTGGATCCGACAAATGCTATGTTGTATGGTCCAGCTAATGATATAGTTGAACATCCGTAATTTATTTCAAGTCATACTTCGTTTGCGTAATAACTTTGTTTACTTCACGGCTGGAAATGCAATGCCTAATTACTACCTAAATGTACCTCATCGACATGGATCGAACTTGTGATGCTAGATGAAAAGAAATGATGGACAAATATTCACAAGGCAATTAGGAGACGGGGAAGGGTTGTGTTTTTATTTTCCCCTTCCTCATTTTGCTCTATTTTCGTTCTTTTTAATTTTCTCTTCCTAACTTGAGTTTAATTTTGGTCTTAGGTCAATGGTTGCTTGGTGCAAGTTCACAAAGCTCCAAAGTTCACGGTACAAGGCCTGGAAGAATAGAAGTTTAGAAAGAGCATGACAGATTTAAGTTCAAAGCACATGGTGCACTTTCAATGCTCCCCCCCCCCCCCCCCCCCCCCGCCGGGGGCAATGTGAGGGAGCTGTTAGCCATGCTGTATACCGAGTGCTCAAACCTGATTCCCTATACGAGGAAAAACAACAGACACCACTTCCATCTTGATTCTCAAATTTCCGGGACAGCTGATCGCGGGCACTCATTCTTTATGTAAAAACAATGTGAATACTCTTAAATTAAGTGCAGGGAGAACAAGGAATGAGCTAATTTAACTGATGTAACTTCTTGTTCATTAATGAAAATGGAGAATTGTTTGCATAATCAGAGAACTCAGAACAATCAGTTTTGTGTGGAATGCAATATTACAAATACAGAACATTAGCATGGACAAAGCAAATCATAAACTTAAATTTCATTATCCTTCTGCCTCGCAATCTCCAATGACTAAATGAGGATTGCAATGCAAACAACTAAAACAATTCAGTCATTGACAAATTTGCGTTTTGCTTTCCTCACTGGCCAGTTCACATCGTCATGTAGTCGCTCAAGAACTGCTCCTCTTGCCTTCACTCCCAAAAGTCCCGATTGGCTGGGCAAGAATATGTTTCATGGCCTCCACTCCAAGTGGGTTGTTCTTGCTCTGAACATTTAAAAAGGTATACGTAAGCACTTGTTCATTATAGTGTCCAATCCAGTAATGCGTACCAGTATTCAAAAAAGCATAAAGCTTGGGGAAGTGAAGAGACCAAGCTTCAACCTAGACGAAGCCTAATCGTACAAAAACATTAAAAAAGTAACGTTTTCTTATTTTAATATTATGTTAAATTTTTAAATCAATCTAAAAATTATTTGAAAATTAAAGGGAAAAAGGCAAAAAAAGTGTCGAGCGTAAAAAAAGCGCGCCCAGATGAGAAAAAAAAAATTGAAAAATGGGAAAAAGTGCACGGAAGGCGTTATGTGGCGGCTTCCCGCCTAGGCCGCTGCCGCTTTTAGAACACCACTGCATACCAAGTATTCAATAAATATATAAACATAGTTTATTTACCGCTGAACAGGTGCCTGCCCTGACGTTGCACACCGGATGATCATGGGGGCAGCAACTGGATTGATCTTCACAGCAGGTTGCACCCTCGAGAGGGCAGCATCCCCAAACATAGCAGGCGCCACCGTAAAGTTCATAGACACAGCAGCAGGTAGTGCTCGCAGGACACGCAGAGTATTCATCACAAGCTGTGGGTGGTGTGACCGGCGATGGAGGAGATGGAGCGGGTTTGGGAGGATTTTGGCCCGTCTTTGTTGGGTAAGATGGCTCTATTGCAATACCACAGAGACCAGATTTTGCTCTCACGTTACGCTGCATTCTAAGGTATCCCTTCTCTCCCCAACTCGGACCCCATGAGTTCCTCACTATCCAATAATCAACACCGTTTTCGCTTCCATATCCAACAACAGCCACACCATGGTCGAGCTCAACGCCACACTTCCCCGAGAATATACCCTGTGGAGATTTGAAATGATATAAATTTTAGAGACTAGACATTTCGTGCTGATTCATTAATAATACACATGTTATTGGAGAAAAATTACAGGGATTTTATCCTAGTAAAACTAGAGCTTGGGTGGAAAAGCCTTGTCTGCAATACCATTAAGATAAACTAATGCCAACATTCAGATTTTGACCTCAATAATGTACTAATAGTAGCATTGTACTAAAATAGAATGTATTATATGTTAACATGATTGATAACATTAAAAACCGGACGAATAAAATAAGATAAAGTCGGGAAAATTTCATAGCTCATAGGCTGTTTTCACAAGGAGAAAATTTTACCGATTCATATAATTGGAAGTCTCTCCCACCACCTTCGACTGCAACACTAATTGGCTGGTTTGCAGCTGCTTTCTGCAATGCCTTCTCATTGTATGGAGTCACATCTTCATAACCATCAATGGACACAACCTTGGCATTTTTCTGCATACAAAATCAAGAAAATAAAGTCAATTCTGCTTACTTTTTCAGTAAATAATCGAATTATTCCTTCTCATGAAGTATATAAGACCAAACCCGATATGTGTCGCATTTCCCATCCCTGCCAGTGTAGGGATAATCTTCTTCAGTGTCAATGCCTCCATTCTTGATAATAAAGTCAAATGCATAGTCCATTAGACCACCATTACATCCTTCATTGACGGATGTATCACAATCCACCAGCTCTTGCTCCGACAGTGAGATCAGAGAACCGGTCTCGATCTTGTTTATTCCTTCCACAGCAACAATAGTTGAAAACGCCCAGCAACTACCTACATTCCCAAGAATTTTATGCACATCAAAATCATATTTCTTGACCATACAATGATTACTGAACTAGACAAATTAAAACGAAATAATTGTAAAGATTAGAGAAACTCCTCAGGTATCTAACTATTACAGACACCCTATTATTCCATATCAGGAGGAAGGCTAGCTAGCGGACAACGAGAAGACGAAGTTTTTAACTTATTTTTGTAAGGACAGTTTTTAAGTGGTAAACGTTTTTTTCAAACACAATGCCATGATTGTACTAAAGAGAACATCTCCATAACAAAGCACTGGTGCTAGCACCATATATTTAATAATTCACCAATTAAATTATGTATTATATCATCAGTGCTTAACATAAGCTAAACACGGGTACTTAGAAGATCATTCTTGTATATATATACATACTTATCTATGTATGTATGTGTGTGTGTGTATCAAGAACAAATTTAGCCCGTTTTAGACCCCCGTTTCTTAAGGTTCATTTTCAATAATACATTTTACGAGGCTCACTTCTTTTATCAACATTTCAACTACATATTTCACGAACCTTTATAAAAATCTACTAAAAGTCTAATTTTAATCCCAACCAAACATGGTCTTAATAAAGGAAACTTTGTCAAGGTCTTCAGTTAATTAAATGGAGTGGAGCCAAATCAGCAGCCTCCCAATTGACATTTCTGGGTCGGCATTAAAGTGACTTCATGCACGAGGTATGGAGGGTAGGTGGGGCATCCAATCCGAATGAAGATTTACACTGATTGCATGTTTGACTAAGCTTAAAAATTTACTTAAAAGTAAATAAATAACTTCTATAATAAATAATTTCATGTCAAAATTGAAAATAAGCAAATTGCTTAAAATATAATCCATCTAAATATACTTAAAAATTAAGAAAGTTACTTACAATTTAAATTTGACTCGATTTCTAATAATAGCCCTACATGTTTACACCATCGAAACTGAGATCCCTTTTCTTTAAAATTCATGATGAATGCAGTAAAATACTAACAATTTGATTCTTGAAGGAAAGTATCCACATTTTATTTTATGGTCAACTATTGTAAAGTTTATTTACTAATTGTCTACCGTAATATTATTCATTTGTCAACTAACCAAAAAGTCACAAAACAATTAGCTTTAGAACAGTTTGGTTTAGGTTTCAAAATTTTAATGGCGATTCGAAACTAAATCCCATACAGTTTAAAAATAAAAAAATAAAAATTTTAAACTGTTGCCAGAAATTAGACCAATAAATTGCCACCTTAACCTCCAAAATAAAGCATAAATATTAAAATTTTAATACAAAAATGAGTAACTTGATCAATTGTCAAGTACCAAATATCAATAATTAATTAATTAATTATCCTAATCTCATAACCCAATTGTTGAGACTTTTTTTATTATTTTATTTCGTGTTTAAATTTATAAGTTGATAAATAATTCTTTTTACGCCAATAAAAATTGAAAATATTTTATCATAATTGGACTAGTGATATAGAGTGAACAGAAGAAAAATATTTTTAAATGGGACCACACCTTGATGTTTAGGTTCAAACAAAATTTCAAATCACCGGTTTAGGTTCAGTTTTTCTCAAACTTAGTTCGAAATTTTGTAAAAAATCGACCAAGTTATTTGACAAAAAACCCATTAATTTCATTATCATTGTACAGTTATATTTAAAATTAAAAAAAAAAAAAAAGAACCCACAAAAGGAAAAGATAAATAAAAAGAAACTTACATAAACCAGCAGTTTGCAACTCGATTCCGATTTGATTTCAAGGAAGAAGAAGAAACTTCATGTATACAAAAGCTTGCAATGCTAGTTCCAAATAAAAAGAAAGAAAAATAGGTATTATATGTATACAATCCATATTTTTATTTTGGATATTATACAGAAAAATACGTACAATGCAATGTGCAATTGAGCAAATTATAATTCAAAATTTTTTTATTTTTGAAAAGAAGGGAAAGAAGATGAATAAGAAGAGCAGAGAAATGGTAGGTTTAGTGGGAAAATGGAGAAACGATATGGCTACGTCTAGTTCGCCGGACATAATAATAATAATAATAATAATAATAATAATAATAATAATAATAATAATAATAATAATAATAATAATAATAATAATAATAAAATTAATTTCAATAGCAAAGTTCTTGAAAAAAAAATCTCAAAAGCTAGAATTCACCATCATCTCGAAGCTATCTTTGAACAAAACTAATATCATGCCCCTTTATGCAAACGTAAAATGAAACAAGACAAAAACATGAAAATTTAAGAAAACTGATGATTAATTCAAAATCAGATGAAGATGAATCACACACAGCACACACTTTGTGATTGATAAACAACATTTATGTATTATTCTGTAAATTTTTGGAGAACCATAATACTGGACGCTCAACTTACAGACGAGCCTCCGAAAAATTCTTCTCCTTCAAGTCTTCGACAGTTTCGTTCATGTTTTCTTTAAGAGACCTTTTCATTTGGAATGACGTATTTGTTGAAGAGGCGTGGTCGGTAGTGTAGGAAAATAGAGAAATGGTGTTTCTTTGTCAGATTGACGTGAATTAAGTAAAGATAAAGGCATGTTTGTGCTAAAAAATAGTGATTTTACTAATTTTGTGTAAAATATTTAAAACAAAAAAAGGCAAATCCGTACGGGACGATGTATATTTCTGACACGTGTCCCGCCAATGATTTGCTCTTTTATATATGTAGGATATGGGACTTTCTCGGGCTCGGAAGCTCGACGAAGATAGTCATTTTCTGCAAAATATTGGAAGCCAAGATCGTGGACACATTTGAAGAGATGATAATGCAACTAGAAGTGAGAAACAATGGAACAGCTAAATTAATGTGGTTAACATTAATAAATATTGAGAATTCAAACAGTATATCGAGAAAACCCTTCTTTTCTTTAAATAAAAAATATGCCAAGAATACAAACATAGCCGCCCTTATATCCACTACCTGATTATTACAGTTCAACTAAATTATAAATTAACTCACCAAATAAGAGAAAAAAAAAAAACACTAAAATAAGTCTAATTTTCGAGAAAGTGATAAAAATGCACAAGGGAAAAATTCATATTTAAGGTATATTCTTTACACCATTTCAAAAGTCAGGTAAGAAGTTTGAAAATTCAAAATTCAGGTTTGTATTTAATTAATTAAAATTATTTATTAAATAAATATATTAATGTCACATTTAAATAATTAATGGTCACATATTTATTTACTGGTCACATATCATCAAATTAATTGATTACAGATTTATTCACTGGTCACATATAAAAAAATTTATAGGTTACAAATTATTTCAAGGTTACAGATCAAAAATTTTAGAGGTCACAGATTTTCTTAAGTCACGGATTATCAAATTTCAAGGTTACAGACCAAATCGTTGAGGTCACAGATTAATTTTTAAGTCACAGATTGTCAAATTTTAAGATCACATGCCAAATCATTGGTCACATATACCAAATACTCCACTGCCAAACCCAATTCACCACCAATGCTTAGTCACAGAGCAACCAAATGGTCACCACCACCACCACCGCCAACAATGTCGCCACCACTAGATCCAACACCATTGCCAACAAAAATCACCACAACTAACAACCACCGTTTCCACCCAAATCACTACTACCAACAACCACCGCCAACAACACCACCACCGCACACAGCCACCGTTAGGGGCACCACCACCGCAGAACACATATCGAAAAAAATTTCAATGACTCACTGCCTAACCACACCAGCTGCAACCAACACCGCTTGCAAGATCACCGCCTCACTGTCACTTGCATAATCACACCATCTGCAACCACCAATCATAATCAACAAACCACACACCACCACTAGAACCACTACCTATCCAACAACACCCACCACAACAGCCAGATCCATCCCTATGCCACTACTGCCATAAACAAAAACCATACCACAAACAAAAATAAATAGTCATTGGAGTGAGTAAGTGAGATCTAAATTTGTTGAGGATGAAATCGAAGAACACGACTGGAGATCGAAGAGAGATGCGACGGAGCCACCGAGTGAGGTTGCTTCAGAGGAGTAGAGGGAGGGAAAAAAAAACATAATTACCGTCGGAAAGGTTGAATCAATGCGTTGCCGCCATCGCCGTTATGAGCCCTACCACCGTCGCTGTGTTTTGTGATGAGAGAAGCGAGAGAATATGGAGAGATGGAGAAGACGCTAGAGAGAGAAAGATGAGGGAAAATCTTAGGGATTGGAAAATTGAATTGGGTGAAATTAATATTTATATTATTAAATCAATACCTGACTTTTGCATAATGAAACTTCAGCCATGATTTTTGAACTGTGAAGTTTAAACCCCTGCTATTGTGTAATTTCCTCAATGCACAATTGCCCCCTTTTCCTCGTTTGGGCCAGCCCAAAAATAAATGCATCACAAAACAAGCCCAAACTATTGCCTGGGGGCCTGTTTTAGATAAAGCTACTGGACCTGCTATTACTTTTTTAGAAAGCTCAAACAATTGCAGGCCCATACGATCTTTTCTTGTACAGGTTAATAACTTGAGTTTGGAATATATGTGACAAGTATGATAAGTAAGGAAATTTTGATCTCGACTAGACCCGGCTCGTATGGAAACGAAAATCCACGGTTAATCAAGTCCAAGGGTGGGGATGGGGCTAAGTGATTTGCCCCAAGCTGGAGATGGGAATCTGATCTTCACCACGTCCCATTTAACTTGTTTATTCAAAAACGAAAAAAAGAAAAGAAATGGCCCAAATGACCTAGAAAAGCCAAGGCTGAAATGGTGATATTCTTGACGTTTAAAATGAAAGAAGCAATTAATTGTTATTCCTAAATAAAACACACGGCTGAATTGGAACACACAATCCTAAATTGCTCACCCGCTTACTCGCAATCACCAAGTACCAGTATTAGCTCCAAAATGTCGACGAGATAAGGAGGCCTCCACCTCGAGTATCGACTCACCTAGTATTTCTATCCTTCTTTTTATTTTCTGTATTTGCCGTGATTTCTTGTACTTCTTTTTATTTGCTTTATTT